CCCGGCAGCGATCGTAAACATAGTTGGTTCCGGGGAAGGACGGACTAGTAAGAGCAGAGACAGCCAGGACGTCTCCCAGACAGGCCCAACCCAACCACACAACACGAACAGGACGAGTGACCATAGTCCAGACTGTAAGATGGATGATCACGCCATCCGATGTCCGAAGCTTTCCCCTCCACCTTCACTAGCTCAATTCAGGCTGATGATCCCAGACCACTCACGGACAATCTTCTCGCCGGAGTGAACGTTTCAACTACACATGGCAGCGAAATAACCACCCTCTAAGGAGTACTCAGGGAAGCTCTTCCCCGAGTCAGTGTTCTCTATCCGGGTACCGGAAAGATCCCACCCCAGCTCCCGAGCACATCTACAATGACTGAATGTAGGCCCGCCACTCCCACGTCCCCGGCGGACAGCCGGACGGCAGAGGTCGATGCTCGGGCTGTGGACCAGAAGTCGTCGTCTTCCACTGGTTCGCGCAGGGGATGCCCGGCTGGCTCCAAATTCCTGAAGCCAAAGATAGGAGTCCCGTCACGTCCACACCCCCGGCGATATGCTGCATGAGTCGGAACCCGCCTAGTCGGCAGCATCCAGGCATTCGTGGCGAGGCTCCGCTCCGTGTGCGACTTCCTAGGTCAACGGAGTGTCGAACGAAGCAACGCCCGACTCTCGAGCAACAGGCGCGAGCTCCGTGCTCCAAGAACACGATTCTATCAGGAGTAGGCGTCAACGATCACAGCACAAGTTGTCTGGTCTAGAGACATTAGGGCATAATCCCGAGCGGACCGTCACCGAGCGGCGCTGCCGAGATGATGTCATCCAGCGAACCCTCAGCCGTCGCCCTCTCGACGGCATCGGGAATGCTGGCGACGCGCAGCCGAAGCACAGCCACCAGCGAGGGCGACAGATCTGGCAACAGGATTAACCAGAGAGCGATGCAGACGGATCGACAGCCAGGACGACGGCTGCATCCGCCAAAGGAGGCCTGCCGGCTTACGCTTCGCGCTGGTCTTGTGGACGACGTCCAGGCCATAGGAGAGCTCGCCGCGGCCTGACGGGAGTACTGTGTGGCCACGTCGCTGCATCGCCGAGCGTGCGGCCGAGCCTGGGGCACGAGCCTTGACGCAGGACTCGGACAGGTACATCCGGCCGCCCAGCCGGTCGTTGATGACCAGCATCCCCTTCACCTATCGGCCGACCGATCTGATTGACCAATCCGCAATCCCAAAACCGTACTTCAAGTCAGGGACCAGCATGGTTTCGTCCATCTGCGAACAGTAGACGAGACCACGGTACTGCAGCGCAACCCCGAGCGGGTTACGAGCAGCGGACCTGCGTCGGGCGCTG